TCCTCAAAGTTGCGAGGACAAAAATGTCCTCAAAATATTGAGGGCAAAAATGTCCGCGTTGATAAGGTCACATGATCACTGCTTAATATTGGCCAATAAAAACCGTGGTTTCCATAGAGGATATAACCTATGCATTTGAGACACGATGGATAAGGTTATATCCTTTGCCGATCAGGCTAATGGGGTGTCATATCGCCAAACTGTTTGACAGTATTGGCAAAGAATTTAACTATAAAGTAAACAGTTTATCAGTACAGCAAATCATTTGAATTTCGCAGTTAACCTTAAACGTCAAATGATTTAGCTTTTACATTTAAACATCTGTCCAGTCCAGCGTGCCATAGTTATCTGCTTCTCGTCTGAACTAATACTACAAACCATTTTGTTGATCTACTTTTTACATCCCTTTGCCAGAATAATGAAAGTTGTTCAACTTGGTCAAGTATGCAGACCCGATTATGTCAGCAGTTGGCAACTCTATATAACAGGACTCCGGATATCTAATATAAAGGTCATAATGGACTTTTGGCCAAAAACACCCCTTTTTTCTGAAACTCAAAAAATCGTTTTTTGTAAATATCTCAGCATCCAGTAATTCAATTTTAATGAACTATTTTTTATTTTGTAGCCCTCATTTAGCTCTACAATTTAAAAAAAAGTTCATCAAAATTGGACCACTGGATGCCGAGATATTTACAAAAAACGATTTTTTGAGCCCTGAAAAATGGGCCAATCTGCCGAAAGTGTGACTTATGACCTGTTTTGGAGATATCCGGGGTCCTTATATAACGATCATCATTATGTTTATTATCAAGTCAGCCATAAAATTCTAAATAAATCACGTTTTGATAAGATAAATTCTGGTAAATTTAAGGATGGTGTTACTAAAGATGCCCTTCTATATCTCTTTAAGTACTTGAAAGACTATCACAGAAATAAGTGTATTGTCCTAATTGATGAGTACGATCACCCTCTTGAAGTTGCTTATCAACATCAATATTACGAAGAAGCTCGTGGTTTTTTGCTTCTCTGAAGTGCCTTCACAGAATCTTGCAAATGATGATTAACAAATGATTACAAATGATTGGATTGGCCAACGCAGAGCAATAATGAAAATTTGGAGAAGGCCCTTCTTGTTGGTATTTCTCGTGTTGCTAAGTCAGGATATTTATCAGAGCTTAATAATTTGAAAGTATTCCCAATGCACCATGAAGTATTTGCAAATTATTTTGGATTCACTGAAAATGAAATCTTTATGCTTCTTCAACATAATGGTAAGGAAAATCAGTTAGATGATGTCAGGCAATGGTACAATGGATACCGAGCTGGAAATAGTCTTAATTTGTACAACCTATGGTCAATAAATTCTTTTATTAATGAAGGAAATTTGAAGGCACATTGGATTGATACAGGTAAGTCTTACATTGATTAGCTTCTGTTAGAATTATTTTATAACATGCTTTCCTGCAACATAACAGGAGGTATTAAAACGATTAAGGATTTGCTTTGGAACTCAACTGAAGATTTTAAAAATAATACATCAATATTACTCAAGGGTTATACAATCAATATAAGGATTATGGAAGATATGGACTATAATATGCTAGCTCAAAAATCAAATATAGACAATATACTTTGGACCTTACTCTACTATGCGAGTTATCTTACCAAAGATAAAAATGACAATCTATGCATTCCAAACATGGAAGTTTCTACAGAATAGCAGGAATGACTGACAAATTGCAATTCATTTGAATTGGATTCAATGCTAACAAGGTAAACTTTATCTATAATTTCTGCTGTATGAAATAATTTTTTATCTTTATTAAAATTAACTTTCACAACATCTCCAGAAGATCAGGTTGATGCATACCAGTCAAAACTTTTTATATGAGTTCTATTTTCTCCTGCACCATCACAAATTAAACCATATATATGTATGCTAATACATTTTAATCTAGATGCAAAATTAAATAATAAAGCATTCAGGTTATGTGCTATAATTATATTAATACCATAATAAGCAACTGGAAAAACAAAGTTATGTGTTGCTGAATGCCAAACAACTTGATGAATTTGTGTTGCAAGACTTTATTCTTACTTTTCAGCTGTAGAATTAGGTAGTAAATTATTTTTATCAAATGTTGTATGAATCTCATTTTAATATTGTAAGGCAAATGATTGATGGTTTTGCATTTCATTCTCAAAATCTGAATATTCAACATAACAGTTTTCATGTTAACTCCAAAGAAGACCTTTTAAAATAATAAATAAATTAATTAATTTTATATGCATTTCAAAGTTAAATAAGAACAATTTTACCTTTTTGAATTTTAAAAGAATCATGTGAAAAGTATCCAACTTACCCATATTCCCAAATATTATTTGCTGTTAAAGTTTCTAATATTTGAAATCCAGTCTCATCTTACCATCCTGAACATTTTTCACTTTTATTTATATAGCTTTTAAGTGTAGAAATGGATGGTAGACGCATTATTGTTTTCATTGCATCATAAGCTGCTTTTTCAGATCTGCTATATACTGATATTGCCCAATGTAAAAACCTATATTAAGAAAATTAAATATACGAAATTTTTTAATAAAATAATGAAAATAATGCAATAATTAAAATCTTATATTGAATGGTATCTTGTTCCGTTTGACTTTTCACTCTGAATACAAATAAGTTTCTGAAAAATAGGATAAAGATTTGAAATATCTATCTTTTTATTTGTGATATCATTAATAATAGTATAGGCTATATTTGCCATTTTATTTGATATTTCTCCCTCTTTTTTCTCTATTTTCTTTTGTCAACAATTTCTTATTTTTATAATAGTTACATTTTATGATTTAATAAGTTTTTTTTGATGTTCAATTTTTTTTATAAGAATTTTCTTTGAGACATGCACATTTTTCACAGAATTTATACTAGAGGTCTGCATTGACCACTATTTTACAACCCAGCTCGGCCCGCACTTGAAAATTAACATAAAGTACCCAGCCTGGCCCGGCTCGGACTTAAAATATCAAAAACCCGGTCCAGACCGGACTCAGACTTTTATTATATTATTTTGTTGTAAAAACAAAAAAATTGGCCAACTTAATTTTGGTCAGTTTAATTTCGGCAAGAATTAAGACGATTTTGGCCAGAATTACGAAAATCCGGGTTTGACAAAACTTCATGTGCCAGCCCGGACCTGGCCCAGATGAATTTTGAAGAAAATTTGCCGGCCCAAACCCAGATCCGGGTCCAGGCCGGATTAGGGTTTCCGAGTTCTGGGCCCCGTTTGCAAACCTCTAATTTACACCATCTAAATACCTTTTACAAATTTGTTGCATTGTTTTACAAACTTTTTGGCAATTTTCACATACATTTTCATCTTTCATTATAAGTTTGCAATTAATATGTCAGTATACTTCATCTGATGGATGACCTTTATTTTCTAAAAAAGCAAAGGGGGTATGCTCTTTATTATTGCTAACCAATTAATCTCCTCAAATTTGAATTATATCTTCAAATCCTAAAATTAAATATTCTTAATGTAAAGAAAAAAAATATAATACATTAATAATTTAATTGTAAATTACATACCAACAGTACTTCGTTTATAACAAACTTTAAGAGAAAAAACATATTGAATAAGACTACTTATTTCATCAATAGTTCTTTTAATTACTCTAACGGGAAAAGGAAGATCTACTTCTTGCAATACTTGATCAAGTATCCAAACTTCAACGTTAAACGTCTAGAGTTTAGAATATCCTCTATATAAATAATTTTGAGTTACATGATGCATTGTGTCTATACCTATAGATTTTGTTCTCTATTATTATGGTTAAAATGATTTGATTGGTAAATTCATAGATACCAATATTATTAATTGGCTCTGTTTAAAAAAAAAAGCTATAATAAAATTCTTTAAAATTTTTTTTTTAATAGCAATAGATCAGTTATCGGTATAGTATAGATTAGATATAATAAATTTTCTGTAATTTTTTTTTTAATAATAAATCGGTATAAAAATTCTTCTGGAGCATCTAGTAGGGTCACAGCCTTTACCTTCACAGACATAACATAAAGCCTGGACTTCAGTAAGTATCACGAAATGTACCTGATGAAGATTTCTTTAATTTTTTCATAATAGCAAAGAATAACACGTAAATAGGAGCCACAGTAAGGCTGTGAACATGTCAAAAGTGATTAAGACCAGTTGGTGTGAAAAGTTTATACTTAAGGATATTACCATAGTGGGAGAAGTACCCATGAATTTATGATTCAGTAAGATATAGTGGAATGTCTGAGACGCAAAAATTACCTTCTTCACTTATGTAACTATATTATCATCTCTCTGCATAATATAAATAAATATTTTATAATAAGAAGGTCAGTAGAACATGATGATTTATGCAGTGTCGATTAGGTGAGGCAGGTCAAAAAGGTAATTTTTGCGTCTAAGACAAAGACTGATCTTCTGCACGTATAGCAGCAGGAGGTTAACTAATTCAAAAATAGGCTTAGAAATGACTTCATCTAAATCAGATTTAGCACGGAATAAAATGATGATCTGCTTGAACTCATTAGAGCCTTCAAAACCGTACTTTAGAACTATATTGGAGAAAAATGATCAACAGTGTCACAAGCAATTTTATTGGAACAAAACCTGTTCCAAAAATCTGTAGGCAAGTAATATTTGAAGATCGTCTGGATGGCAGCTTGGGTTATGTCTGGAGAAAATGCGAGGGTAATATCAGGAGCAGAAGTAGAAGCAGCAGCAGAAGTAGAGTCTTAGGCAGGTACGTAAATAGATGTAGTAAGAGAAGTGTCAGGACAGTGTTAGGATGAACACATTTAGCAGTTTCAGGAAAAGGAGAACAGTTATTAGCACGGTTCAATTGAGTGCCAGAATAGGAGTGAAGGGTACGTTCAGTGGCTGAAGTTGGCAGCTATTGGAAAAAATGTTGGGCAGTTTTCCCTTTATTTTTAGTAGACATAGTGGACAAGAGAAAAATAAAAGTTTATAAAATAAAAGTGTTTTTCGTGAAAAATTTTCAAAGTAGGAGAGAAAATTTTTTTGTAATATAACTTTTTATAAATAAGAAAGTATAAATACATAAATAATTTAAATTTATTATATGATTTACTTATAAGTTCAGTTCACAGAAAATAAATCTGAAGTCTGTTTCTAGACCCTAATTAGGAAAATTCATAACTTAATTGCGATGTTTCTGTTAATCAAATTGGCACTAATTTTTCACAAATTTCAAAAATTACTTTATTGCTGTTTTCTAATTACTGTGATCTAGCATTATTTAATAAAAAAAAAAATTTTTGAGAAAACACATGAAAATAAAAATTTTATTGCATTTTCAAATAAAGGAAATATGATTATAAGCTAAAAATTATAATTTTAAGAAAAAATTTTCAATTTTTAAATAAGTTTACTTATAAATAACTTTTTAAATTTTGTGTAACAAATTGGTTTTAAAAAAGTTATTTATAAGCAAACTTATTTAAAGATTGAAAATTTTTTCTTAAAATTATAATTTTTAGCTTATAATCATATCTTCTTTATTTGAAAATGCAATAAAATTTTTATTTTCACGTGTTTTCTCAAAAATTTTTTTTTTTATTAAAAAATGCTAGATCACAGTGATTAGAAAACAGCAATAACATAGCCATGCTTATTTTCAGTTTAACTAAACACTTGCCTACCAGCAGTAGTTGTATCTCAAATAAGGTTGCTGGAGAAACTAGGGGTTTTGGCAAGTTGGCAAAATGCCAAAATAGCGAAACTTTGCTAAAACTATATGAAAGTCTTATTAAAAAGTTAGCAAAACTCTAGAAAAAAGCGAAACCTGACAAAACTTATTATTAATGCCAAAACTGCTGAAACTTTGCCAAAATTATAATAAACCCATAGTAAAATCTTGAAGAAACTAATCATAGGATTTTGAAGAGGTTTAGGCAGGCAACCTTAATCTCAAATACACTTAAAACTGATCATGTCGCTTGTTATATAATACAAGTTACTGGTGAAAAGTAAGGTTGCTTGCCGAAACCTAGGGGTAATTCTGCCAAAACTATATTAAAATTATATTAAAAAACTGGCGAAGCTTTGGTGAAAGGCGAAACTGCCGAAACTTATTATAAATGCTGAAACTGCCGAAACTCTACCGAAACTATAATAAATCTATAGTAAAATTTTGACGAAACTAATCATAGGATTTTAAAGAGGTTTAGACAAGCAACCTTAGTGAAAAGACCTTTTTCAATTAGAAACAAGAACTTGCAGAGTTCAAAAAAGCATTTAGTGACTATCCAGATTTTCATGTTATTCTAGGTCCTCCTAGTTCTGGGAAAACTGCCTTGGTTCATGAGGTAACAACTAAAGGCAATTTCAAATCTCTTTTTCTAAACTGTCGTTTAGAACAGTTTGATTTTCCAATAGCTGTATACCATTCTATTTCCATGCAATTCAAAACATTCTTCAAAAATCAAAGAAAATTCCTGAAAAAAATTTTACCAGAAATGGAAATCAAGGCCAAATTTCCATATTTTTTGGAGTTAAACTTTAAGCTATTTGATAAGCAAGAAAATGAAATTTACTTTTACTAGTGTTATGAGCTTGCTTAAAAAAATTGCTCGTGCTCTTCTAAATCGAAACATATGGATAGGTTACAATATTCTTCTACCCATTTTGATTATTGATGAAGTAAACGTACTTAATCGACTTGGTTACAGTTTGGTAGCAGGAAAAGTTCTTCTATGATCATATCTTGACTGGTTCATATTAAATACAAAACAAACAAGTCGCTTCCATGTTGTGCTTACCTCTTCTGATTCATTCTTTTATAACTGGATCACAGATTGTAAGTCCACCTTATTATAATCATATTTGATATCAGTGTAAAGGCTTATGATTTTCTAATCCACATTTATTGTTTAGGTTTGCATAACTTATATGTAACTACATATGTTATTGGAGATTTGAGCAAGGAAGAAGCTGAAGAATATTTTGAAAAGCATATTCTTTCTCAAAATGGTATGTCATTACTGAACTCATTTATTTATATGTAGAGGGCTTACATAACATATTTGTTATTTAAAAAAGAATGTAAAGAATTTGAAGGCAAATTTGACCATATTTGCAAAATAATAAGTATACTAAGGTTGCCTGCCTAAACTCCAAGATTTTACTATAGTTTTATTATAATTTTGGTAAGGTTTTGGCAGTTTCGGTATTTATAATAAGTTTTGTCAGGTTTCGCTTTTCTCTAGAGTTTCGCTAACTTTTTAATAAAACTTTCATATAGTATCAGCAAAGTTTTGCTATTTTGGCATTTCGCCAACTTGCCAAAACTTCCTAGTTTTTCCAGCAACCTTAGGGTACACGCATGCTAATTATTGATAAGTATATTAAAGAATACAAAAATTCTAATGGAAAGCTTACAGGCAGGGTTGTGGTAATATACCTGTATCAGCAAAATTCTAGTATGTACTGTACTAGCAAAAATTTTGTATAAGTACTTTACTAATACAATTATTACTTTTTAGGATATAATTTAACCATTTTAGGTAGATATCATGTGATTAATATTGTTTATATTTATAAAATTAACTAATAAAATTTATTAATAGTATGTACTAAAATTGTATTTGTACTAAATTTTCAAGTACAAGTATAGTACTTAGTACTGTACTATAGTTTATACTGTACTAATACTGTACTAGTACAATTTTCAACCCTGCTTACAGGTACATATCAGATTTTATTTTCTTTTTAAAGGATATTTATTTTTGTTAATTTTAAAGAATTTAATGCATAATAAATTGTTTATAGCTAGTAAATTTTCAGTTTATATATCAGAATATATGAAGTTGAAACATAGTCTCCATCTTAAGAGATTGAAATATTCAGATAGGCCCGATCGACCACTTTGGACAGATAGTGATTTAATCAAAACTATTAAAGCATTAATGAAGACAGAGAGTTAAGGATACATTTTAGAAGATGACTTGATTAATATTGTTGGTCCTAAACAAATTGATTCGCTTATAGATTATAATTTTTTGCACCGTAAGCAAAACTCAAAATTTGCTTACGATATCATCAACCTACCAGATAATCAAAATTCTGACTGCAATGAGCTAGCCATCACTGTATGCAATTAAGGTTACTTGCCAAAATTAGGAGATTTTGGCAAGATGGTATATACGAAACTGCCAAAACTAATTTCGCAAAATTACCTTAAAATGCTGAAATGCCAAAACTGCCAAAACTCGCGAAACTGTTTTGATGTTTCGGCATAGTATATCATATGATATACATATAGTTTCAGCATTCACTATAATTTGCGGTTTGCAGATTTTATTCTGATCAGTTTCGGTATATCATATGATTTACTGATCATACTAATTTACTGATCTGATAATCTTTTATTATTAAAAAAAAAAGGTTAAAAAAAAACATTTTATTGTTTATAGTTGGAAAAAATAAACCCGCCCTAAACATGAAAGGTTGGGTTTTTAATTTATTTTTGTTAAAATGCCTACCAAAAAACCATTTCATCATAAAGCTGACTCGTTAAAACAATCCAATAAGCCATTTAAGTCAAAACATGCAACCAAAGGAATCATCAGAGATAAAATAAAAGACGAAATTTTTTTTGCTTTTCGATAGTAAAACATTTGAAATGACATTAGTATTATATCAAATTTTTTGTCTCATTATTTATTTTTTTTGTAGGAATGTCATTAACATTCCTTTTCTCTTTTTTTCTTTAGGGACACCTTCTGTACCTGAAATTCGGTGAAGTGGTAGGTTGGAAAAGGGAGGTGTGGTTTTATTTTAATTATAAGAACATACCTAATGTTTCTTTTTTCTTTTTTTCTTTAGGGACACCTTCTGAACCTGGAATTCAGCGTAATAGTACGTTGGAAAGGGGAAGTGTTGTTTTATTTTAATTTAGGAACATACCTAATGTTCCTTTCTTTTTTTTTACTTTAGAGCATTTTCTGGACCTGGAATTTGGTGAAACGGTAGGTTGAAAAGGGGGAAGTATTGTTTAACTTGTTTAATTTTAATTGTAGGAATGTACCTAACATTCCTTTTCTCTTTTTTTACTTCAGGGCGCCTTTCAGACCTGGAATTTGGTGAAACGGTAGGTTGAAAAGGGAAATGTTAGTTTTTTTCATTGTAGAAACGTACCTAATAGTCCTTTTTCTTTACTTTAGGATCATTCTTTCGGAACATGAATTCTATTGAAATAAAATAAAAACAGCCTCCTGGACAAACCTGGACTTAGAATGTAAGGAATGGGGGAAGGGAAGTTTTTTTAAATATTAAAAAAACGTACTAACATTTCTTTATTTTTATTAGGTTGCCAGACTCCTTGGACGAATCCGACTTTAAAATGTTAGTTGGAAAAGAGAGAGGTGATTTTTTTTTAATATTAAAGAAACGTTACTAACGTTTCTTTCTCTATTTTTTTAGATTATCAAACATTTGGGAAAACAAAACTCAGGTGTGGACTGGGGAGTTTACTTCAAAGAAATGTAATCTCTTTATTATTATAATAATTGTAATAAAATAAAAAAATATTAAGTAAAAAAAAATTACAATAATTTTTTTTTAATTACATATAAATTTATTAGAAAATTTGAAATTAAAAAAAAAAATGCTAAAAAATATTAGAATAGCGAAACTATGGTGAAGTTCATATAAAATATTAATGCTTGTTATGCCAAAACTATGAATAAACTTAATTATAGAGGTTTCGCAAGTTTCAGCAATTTTGCAGTTTCGCAGTTTTGCCATTATGTAAGGGGTTTCACCTTTCAGCATTAAGCCAAATAGGTTTTGGCAGGCAACCTTATGCGCGATAGAGGGAGTCTTATTTTCAGTCAAAAAATAATTAAAATTTTCATAATTTTACCATCTCACATTTCTCAAGAATGTAATAATAGGTTGTAAAATCAAAATAAACTTGCCAAATGCTACAGTATGAAACCTCTATACTCAAAATTAAAAAATCTTTAAATAACTTTTAATTTTACAAAATAGCTTTACGCTCAATTTTTATTTATAATTTTTATTTAGGCTAGTATTACATTAATCTTAATTTTGGCCAATTATAATTTTGACCCTTATATTTTTTTTAAAAAGTTTTTAGTAAATAAAAAGAGTTAAATAACTCAATTAAACCAATACTATTGAATTTAATTATTTTTTTAAATTTTAATATTGCATAAAATTTACATATTTTCAAATTTTGATTGTTATAATAAATTAGGTAAATTAGGGAATTGCTAATATTATCGCCTGGGACTTCGATCATGTGACAGATTTAATATTTTTGATTGGCCAGATTAGCCAGTATAGGTTTTTTCAGTCTCAAGATATTTTTCTTTATTGCTTTAGTTCAGTTCTGCAATTAAAATTCAGTTGTTTATTACTTTACGTTTTATTTTATTTCATTTTTTTTAGATATTTTAGTTCTTTCAGTTCTACAATTAATAAAAGTATGTTATTTATTTTTTATTTATTTTTTTTTATTTTATTTCTATCTTATATTTCGTTCCTTATTAACTTTAATTTTTTTTACTTTATGGTTTTATTTTTTACTTGGTTTCCTATCATTACCCAACCTCCTATCATGATCATTTTTTTATTTTTTGTATTACTTCTCATTATTCCATCCTTTCGTTTCCCATTATTTTTTATTATGACTTTCATTTTCTATTATCTATTTTCTCTCCTATCTACTTCCCATTATTTCCTTTTGCCTCTCATCACTCCTTTTCGTCTCCCATCAACTCCATTACTCCTTTTTACCTCCTATCACTTTTCTTTGTCTTCCATTACTTCTTTTTACCTCCCATCACTCCTCTTCATCTTCCCATCACTCCTTTTCATCTCCCATCGCTCCTTTTCGTCCTCCATCACTAATTTTCATCTCCCATTACTCCTTATCATTTCCTATTACTTCTTTTTGTCTCTCATCACTTCTTTTTACCTCCCATCACTTCTTTTTATCTCTCATCATATTCTATTTCTCCTTTTTATTTCTCATTACTTCTCATTACTCTTTTTCATCTTCTATTACTTTTCATTATTTTATTATTCCATTGTTGTTTCATTTTTTTATTAGCATCTTTCTCCTTGATCATTATAATTTACTTTTCTTTTTTATTTATTGTTATTGTTTTTTTATTTGTATCGCTTCATTAAAAATAAATACAGTAATTTTTTTCTTTAAAATCTTTAAAATCGTAATTGTGTGACTTAAATTTTAAATATTTGCAAATAAAAATAAAATTTCATTAAATAAGATTATTTTGAATAATACCAGAATGAAACTTTCAAAACTTACTGATTCAAAGTGAAAGTATCTAAAAAAAGAAATAAAAAAAAATAAAAAATTTGTTTTTAAAAAAATAAAGTTTCGAAAGAATGAAACTTTTGAAACTTACCAATCCAAAGTGAGGGTTGCCGATACCTAAAAAAAAAGAAATAAAAAAAATATTAAAAACTAAGTTCAAAACTTACTGATCCAAAGTGAAAGGTCTCAAAAAAAAATAAATAAAATTTTTTTAAAAAACAAAGTTTCAAAAAATGATTTAAAACTTTACCGATCCAAAGTGAAAAGTCCTGCCGATATCTAAAAAAAAATATTTAAAATATTTAAATTTTTTTTTAAAAAAACAAAGTTTTAAAAAAATGAAACTTTTAAAACTTTATTGATCTAAAATGAGAGTCTTGCTGATACCTAAAAAAGAAATAAAAAAAATAAAAAAATTTTTTAAAAAACAAAGTTTCAAAAGAATAAAACTTTCAAAACTTTACTGATCTAAAGTGAAGAGTTCTAAAAAAAAAAAATAAATAAAAAAAAATTTTTTTTTAAAAAATTACCACTAAACATCTTTAATATTTTTTGGGATCACTAACAATTTTTAGTTCAGTTTCTGAATAGCATAGCAGGTTTTCTATATTATCATGTAGATTTTGCTGATCATTTTCAATTTTATCATATATTGTTATGATGCATCATATTGATTCTTTTGAACAGTTCTACATAATAATATATTCTCAAAATTTGCCAATATATTAATTTTATGGCAATTTCTATTTGTACACAGGGTGTTTAAACACGGGTCATATTAGTAGATTAAAAACGGCATTCAAAACCTCCTTTAATGCCTTAAGTAAACTTGCAGAGCAGGTGAAAATACATATATTTATCTG